AGCATTTCCCACAAAAAAGTGAAAATGATCAAATTATTAGTTTGGCCCTTATACTTAGGACCCATCAATAGATGCTCCAGAATCTTATAGTTAAAGCATATGCTCTATACTCTTCAGTCTAGAGTCATTTACCTTGGTTAAACGAAATCGTGGTACCATGAGTTTGGACTTAGCTCTAAGGTTATGTAATTTTTTTTGTGTAAAATAGGAAGCAAACGAACTGACGAGCCACTTGATCATCGCCCTTAGACATCTGCAACATTAGATTAGCTGCCTTTACGCTGCCAACCTTTGAGAGCTCTGTTGACACGCTTAAGAAATACTTACATAAAGAAACTTCTTGTTTTTTGGAAAAAATCGTAATGTTTACTATTGAGTTCTATTATTATCGTAAATCGGAGCACGTAGAGTATACTTACCTAAATTTCATGGAAGTAATTACATAGAATGGTTAATATGCACTTCCCTCCGAAATTACAACGTATTACGTATTTTGGATGAGTATGATATGTTCAAAAGAAAAACACTCTGTGTATTATACTCGAAATTGAAATAAATATACTCGTATATATATATATATATATGTGTGTGTATTTTCCGATCTCTGCTTATTGTAGTGAGAAATGGTATATAAACTCGAACTAATGTGGTCAATTTGCGTTAGCGTGTGGTACAGGAATTGATCTGCGCGGTCAAGTGGGCTTACAGTACCGCAACTTCGAACTGCATCATTTAGAGTTTTCAAAATGCTGGAATTCTTATTACCTCTCTTTTCCTGTGTCTTTCTAGAATGTTCTCTTTTATTTTGTTACACTAAAACCCATTTACACTCTCATCTAAACTTATACTTATATTCACACTCGTCCACGAACACATGTTCTTTTAGATGCACTGCTTACACTTTATTAGACATTATTTCAATAAAAAAACTTTACTCGTAGTCCTTCTCCTTCATGCTAACTGAATACTAGCATTGTAAGGAACTTGGCATATGCCAGTATGTAGAGTAAGATCCTTTACTGCTATGGTGACAAACATCGTATGTTTTTTCGTCTGTATTTGTATAAAATTGTACCTTATTGTGACAACGAAAATGGATAGTTAACAGATGGACTGCTAGGCAGGTATCGAGGTATATTTGGTTGCATATTTTTTAAATAGCTATTCGATTATAACTACTAGAGAAAACGACGATAACGACGATTTAGCGTAACAACCTTTCCTTTCCTACAAAAATCCGTAGCCTCTTATAAATACCCTTCTAAACGACAGTTTCTGTTCTTTCCTATCGATAACGAGGAATTTGATCAGAACAGTGTCTGTTTTTTAAAATTATATATGTCGATATTCCTGTGTATAACCGCCAGAATAGCTTCGGCAGTGGAAAACGTGACAAAAATTTAGTCACGTCATTCCCTGGTCGGTGGCTTAAGAAACTTTGTAGCGTGGCAAACTCAACACAATGTAATTTATTCTACCTGCCGTTCCGTTAATTGTGTCACTTAAAAAAGTATATTTACTGACGAACAAACTGATTTGTAAAGTCAGTGTGAAATAGCCGAAGTGTACATTCATTCTCCATGTAAGCCATCTTTATATAAAAAAAACCCATATCGTCACACGATAAGACAGTCCCCGGCAGTGACATAGTGAATCAAGCTGAAGGTTGGCATAAAGGTCGCAGCTTATCAGTCTGTGCACGAAAGTTGTCGGAATAGGAAGTTTCGTTTTGAGTTCGTAAGGCAGGAAGCATCAGTAGAGTATTTAGGAACTAATAACGTCTTCTCAAATAAATGTTTAAGATTGCCTCAGTTATATGGGTAAATACGTGATATGAATTGATGGTTTATTTCGCTCATTGATGGTCTACTTCCCTATAGGGGAAGACTAATTTGTACCGACGTGTGGTAAAAATCCGAGAATACAACGCAAATTAGATGTAAGGAAACAACATGCAAGTTAATACAAGTAATGTAGTGCCACCTATGACACAGCAGAATAACTCTTGTATTGTTTTGCTAGAAAGTACTAGATGGCGCATGCGCAATATGCACAATGATAGTTCATCTATCGGAAACTAGATGGCACTACAATGTTTGCGTTGTGAATATATTACAAAAATATAACTGTTATGTTTTAAACTTACCGATAATAGCTCGTAGATGACCCTCCAGCGTTTGAAGTATAGTCATTTTGATCTCCTTGACGTCCTTGCCTAAGAACTGCTCACAAGCAGTTGTTAGAAGTTCATCTTCGTTCATAACCTTGCATTGGGCGACTCCGGTTATGGTAAGGGCCACCCCTGACACTGTCTCCACACATTCGCTGATAGGGTTGAGGGTCATCACCTGAAATATAAGTTTACATCAAGTAAGTACCTTCAAACGTAAGTCTTACTTAGTGTTGAGTCATGGAAAATTTTCCATTTCGTAAAAATCATATTATTCCGACAAATAAATATTTTTCCGGATATTTTTCCAATATTTTTCCTTTAATTTTCCACATTTAACATTGACACCTGTCAAAAGTTGAACTTAGTAAACGAAAACGATGGAGCCATTATAAATCTCGTTTTTCTTTAGACGTCCTTTAGCTACAAATTTATTTTATAATTCCCGCTGAATAAAAAAAAGATATTTCTAAACGTAGAACATGACATGAGCCTTCGAAATTATATTTCTAAAAATTTTGGGACGTTTTCCAATTTTTCGGAAATTGTCCAGAAAAAGTTTCTCTATTTGAAATTTGGCGGAAAATTACCCGACAGGAGTCTTACTCTCAAAATGTTCATAATAATGAGTCAGAGTTAATACTAATGATTTCAAAATAACTATTTTACTCAATGATTTACTTATGTAATTAATATGTATACGAGGAGCATGTTATACAACAATGTTGAAAGAATGCTGAAAAATGTACCTAACTCATAAGCATAATGTTTAAATCACAGTTCGCGTAGTCGCAGCACAGCTGAGTATACCTACCGTAAGTGAGATCCTCTGAACATGGGTGACCAGCCACCAGGCCCAGGCCCAACCGCCGATGACACGCTTCTGTGAGGAGCGGAAGCATCCTCCTGTGAACAACAAAAAGGTCAACTTTACATAAAACATAACCAACCTCAGAATTAATGGTGAACTATATGTTACTTGGATTCTGAAAACCGCGAGCGTTTTGTTCACATTAGTAGTAGTTAGTAGTATCTATGTAATTTCAAAAAAGTGTCAGATATTTTATAACGAATTTTTAAAACTACAGCAAGTTATAAATTAAGTGCCTGGGGGGGCTACCCTCGATCTCTGTCCGACATCCGTCCGAAACAATTACTGTCAAATAAGAAATATTCGACAAAATTAAAAGATAAGTATCAAGTATGAAGCTTCATTCGCATCACGCGTCTTTTCATTTGGTCAAGTATTGCTTATTTGGCAGCAATTGTTTCGGACGGATGTCAGATGGAAATCGAGAGTAGACCCCTGGTACTAAAGAATATGTCCATGGTTATACATATTTTGCAGTTCAATGATCTACTCACGATCAATAAACTGAGTAACCGAGTAAAATTAAAACTGAAACTATGTTTTACGGATCTAAATCGAGTATATATATTTTTTTTTTTTTCAAACAAATCAACGTCTCGGGCCATTTACACAGGTCCCATGGTCACGGATGACAGAGATGGTACCAACCAGTTTGATATTAATGGAAACCACCATATTTTTACACTACAGTCATAACAGTCATAACAGTCATTAATTAAATACGGTATTTAATAAAGTATGCAAAACATTTCAACAGATGTTACATTTATTTTACAAAATATTTATTTATTTATTATGTTTACAATATGATTTTTTTATTAAATTAGATTTATTATTAATTAATAAATGGAATTAGAATAAATTAAACATATTAATTAGTGCTGCAGTCTCATGTCAGTTTCGGATTTTTCATCAGAGGAAGTACTGAATCCCAAACTGGTGATACAGAGAAATCATCTTCCCAATTTAAATTAGCGTAGTGAAATTACAAGAATATTTATTTGTGATAATAACATTTTGCTTATAATAAATAACACTAAATTAACAGTAATAACACAACAAAGTATTACCATGCATATATTTCACTATTTAAGATTTTCTCTTAATAACAACGCAATTTACTAAAACAAATTGCTGCGTGTATAGTCGACTGCAATAGAGGAAGGGCAGAATACCGTAACACGTATTTTCGGAAACAAAAGCTTTGTTTAATTTCGTACTTATACGTCAAGGGCTTGGAGAAAAAACGGAAGTTGTGTCTCTTGCGCTCACAACCTGCGACGTCATCATAACATCGAGAGACCTGTCGGCAGGAAACGTAGAAGGCACTGACCTCCGTGCGAGAGTTGTGATCTCGAAGTGATTAGGCTAGCCTTGTACAATATAACTGTATACACAATCCTGACTTTCCCTTCGAGTCTCGAGGAAGTGATCCATTTCACTAGGGCCTGAGGTCCAACGAAGATAGATTTGTTACAATGGTGTCACAGTACATTCATGACAAATATTATGTTAAGAAAAATTGTGTTGTTTTCGTGTAAATAATAATAAGACATATTCATATGAGAGCTAAAATAAACTAGATATTCTTGACAGTCGCCTGAAGGCGACAACATCTAAAGTACCGGCACGCGTGATGGCCGTTTTGACCGTTTGTACGCTCATCAAGTTTCGTATTATTTCACTACGTTGAAGAAGTTAATTGTTGTACATTGTTTTCAATAGTGAAGTGCAGTAAAATTTATGGAATCTATAATTCTACGACGCAACTCGGCATTTGTTTTTCGAAATTCGAAAGTTATAAAAATGAAATCTAATACGATCGTCACTTAAAGAATCGCTGTCCATTACAACTTCCTCCTCCGGCAAACTCGCGTTAAAGCTCAAGCGAAAACAAAGCAATTTAATTGACGATATATTAAGTAAATATTTTTGTTTTCGTTTCATTAAAATTTTTTAACCATATGCCCCTTGCAATACTAGTTATAAATCTAAAAACTTACAGACGCGACTTGCATTTGATTATATTTATTACGATAATTAATTGAGATTTCACCTCACTATTGTAATCTGTCAAAACGGCTATCACAGCGGGCCGATACTGTAGTTTATTTATTTTGTTAACAATAATACCCCAATATATAGGGGTAATGCATATGCTTCCACAAGTTTCCTGTTGATATTGAAACTTTTGAATTTACGAGGTTTAAAATCGCGAAACCAAAAGTTTACACAAAGATTATTCATTATATAAAAAATATTTATTATGCAACTTCCGGGAATCTCTTGGGAAACGCAACACGCCGATCCATATCAGTAGCAGTACCGCACAGATTTTAAAGCGCAAAGATCTGAGGCGCACTGCCACTGCGCCCTTCACCTTGAGACATAATTTGACATGACCCATGTGCCTGTAATTTCACCATCACCTTCAAAACCGGAATACAATAATGCTCACTTTACTGCTGTGGAAAGTACTTCCCTGGATGAACTCTTTCACAACGAAGCTACACATTGGAAATTAAACTTTTTTTTCGGCTCCAAACCGTGTTTTTTCAAGCACACCAACGTTTCGGGCTTTTTACAGATTCCATGATCACAGTTTGACGCAAAAAGCAATGAAAATTGACAACTTACGATGGCCAGATATATATATAAGAATATATATTCGTTGCCTTTTAGAACATTGAGTAAACCCAAAGAAAGTTTTACAGAGCAAAAAGCATTGCAGAGCATGGTATTTGACGAGTTAAAAGTCCACTAAACCTGCGGTGAATTCACTTTCGTTTCGGGTCTGGGGAACAACACGTAATTCGATTCACGCCTGTGACTAAGTTACTGTGGAAATTCACTAGTTTCTCATTGACTTCTACAATTGAGGCTATCAGCGCAAAAGTGGTGTAAACTATATTTTTTTCTACAACATTACTTTAAACGATACTAAAGTACGTAACTATTTATATTTGGATACCATTTTATGAATTTAAACATTAAATGTACAGTCTGTTCCAATCCATTTTGAACAAACAGTAAACAAACCTGTTTGATTAAAATTCTAACGCAATCACTCAAAAAATCGAATAAATAACACTGTCACGTATATTTCGAAGATTTCGACTTGATATCTCATCACTATTTCCAACAATATTCATTTGAATAGCATCGTATAATCGTATTTGAAAAATGGTAGTCCAAAAGTGAGATTATTCACATATACTTCTATGACTTGCCTATGATTGCATAGTGCTGTTCGAAAAAAAACATTCGGTTTTAAGGACAAAGTAGTAATCGATTATTAAATCGAACATTTCAATCGCAATCGAACGAGTATCCAAGTGTAAGGATTTGAAGGAGGTTTAAATTGAAATTTTAAATATGCTTATATAGGTTATGTAAGGAAAACCGCTAGTATCTATGATTCAATTGAACAAATCGATTCATTTAATTAATTAATCGATTTGTAGGTGGCGTTACAAATGACCACCACTAAACCGTCTATGGTCGGGTCAGGGACGACACGACCATAGACGTTTGTTTGTTTACTTGTTATTCAAAATGGATTTCATGAAGTACAGGTTGTACACTTTTGCGATGATGCTCTTGATTATGGGCGAAGTATCTTACTGGGGAAGTGACTGGCCAAGTGTGTGAAATCCTGTTTCGATGACGTGGATTTCCACGTAAATTACAAATTGCTCTCCTCTTTGATGTGCTCTAGAATCGGAATGTTCCAGTGAATATAGACCTGTGACGATTTGACCTCCTTACTTCGTCATCCCACCTTTTTATCGCCTTTTCTCCGGTTCTTGGCCATTCGTTTTTAAATTTTGAATCGTTCTTTAATAATTCCTTTGCCTCGTCATTCTGATTTTTGTTTCGTTCCATCGTCCCTGCCTGATCACGGCAGCGAACACGTCTTCTCGTTAATTTTTTAAACCGTTTACCAGTTACCGAAAATCTCTTGTGCGATAAACATTTTTAAGACCACAAATATTAATAAAACGGGAATAATATCTATAAAACTGGATTTATTACTATTTCTTTATCCTTTTGAATTTTGAGCTTAAAACTTGCTAAGCAAGATGTGCGGAGGCTGCGGCTACTACTCTCCTGGCTACATTCAATCCACAGAACATTCCAAGCGGCACCAGCAGAAGTACGCGCGTTTCAAACCTAATCAACAGCCATCTAGTCAACAGTGCATCGTTCTGAAAACAACTTCAAGAGCGACTTCCACAGGCTGTAAATTCAACGTACTAAGTTGCTAGCGGTGGCGCGCCGTTTCAACCCACCGTGTGCCATGTCGTTCTGCTTTATAAGTAGTACAACGCTGACGCACCTCCTGTGGCATCTCTTAGTAGTACATGAAGACGCGTATTAGCTACAATTAATTATTGCTTGAGAGATACCAGTGGAATGGAACAACTGTTGTTTTGTCTCCCATGGGATTCGGACAGGTATTGGTGTTTAGTGGATAAGTCTAAAACAAATGAAGATCAATCGAGAATTCGTAGTAACAACATAAAGCAAGTGTCTACGTTCCTCGACTCACGTCGGCACCTCTTGACAGCGAGTAGTCTTTGGCATGGGGACATAGAACCAGCGTCCTATTGATAGTACAATCACACAACGCGGAGGCCATGGAAAATTACGTAAGAGTTTTCGACATAATACAGTTTGTAGAGTAGTTATATTTTCCCGATAACTCAGCCAATAAGAAAGTAACGTTTGTTACACAATTCATATAGGAATTACAATGTCACGAGTAAGTTGTTCTTATTAATATTGAATTCGTAGCATTTCCGTTTTATACAGCATTGCCAACCCAAAAATCAACTATGCTCTCAGTTGGAAACTAGTTTTTTTCGGATATAAATCGCATTTTTGTTTTTTTTTCCAAACAAACCAACGTTTCGGGCCTTTTATAAGTCGCATGATCGCAGCGAACTGACCTGATGGGACCCGTGGCACTGCAACTATTAGTCACTTAGTATTATTAAATAAACTCTCAGTTGCTCAAAGGTTTGTTGGAAGAAATCCCTTTATATAATTTACAGATGCTGGCGTTACTTTGCGGAAAATAACGTTACTTGTACTTGTGTTACCTCCTCGAACCCCATAAGTAATGGCATAAACTCGCCTTTGCGTACTTAGTTTTTTAATGTAAACAAACCTTATATCACTTGTTCTGTGGTACAAAAAAAAATTGTATGTATGTAAACACATACATACATTTTTTTTAGATAGTGGTGACTTGAATAAGGCTTTTAAAGGCGATATTTGTTGAGCAGCCTTTTAAAGTGTAAACAACATGACAGATAAATGAAAGCGATCCAAATACCTGGTAGAGTCGATTACTAACCAAACTAAAATGTTTATGAATAAATTAATGTATCAGACAACGGGGACAGGATTCAATGGTTGCTTTTGAGTTACAAGAATATATTTTTATTGTTTTATTTAATTAAAAAATAGCAGAAGAAGAAAGAAAAAAAGAAAATTCGTTGAAAATTCTTCCTTGTGTTCGATTTTTGTATTAATAATAAAATATTATCACAAAAAATATATCAAAATTATGGTGATAAATCAACAATACGCATCTTTTGTTTTTCTGGTACCAAGTGACGGGACGAACAAGTCGTGCACCTGGTGGTAAGCGAGACGCCTGTCCATAACAGTCACGGGTAGGCGTGTCGCTTACCACCACTTATCGAGATCCACAACCCCCTATAAGTGTTTTTTATATCTCATTTACTTCAGTTTTATTGTTAAGCAAAATCGGTGTAATTGACATTTTTAAAAAAACTTTAGATGCCAATACGAAAGTTACCAAAACGCAAATGAGTTAGTTATGTCAAGGTGGACTCTTTATGCCTATAGGAAGCATTATATTTTTGATACTCATCACATACCCAATTAACTCTTCCTTTAAATCCGCTATAGGCTAGTAAAAGTGAAATTTGTCCGAAATTAGTAATTGAAAAACAACATCAATGATTCATCAAAGACGGACTACTTTCCCGTTTAGGTATTAACTTTCGTGGTTACTCACTAAACAAATTATCACCAGTTACAAGTCCACAGATAGATAAATAAACACTTTATTTACTAATATGACATATGCGTAGATTCAATCCAAAGGTTAATGCTTAAAATTTTAGTCACAACAGTGAAAGTTCCCTAAGTGTCGCCACAAATCGCCGCAGCCAGCGTCAAAAGTACGTGGAATTATATATAATAGCCAACTTTTATTGAAATCGGGTTACCGGAAAGTGCGCAAACCCGGATTCATCCCCTAGTCCACTATACGGGACTTGACACAGGAGATAATAAAAATCGGTTCTCACTACTCAAAATATATTGAGAGAGAAAAACGTCTTGAATTGGAGAATAGCAAAATCAACCATTAAAATAATTGCTCCTTATAATAAAATTTA